AATACTATATTTTTTACAGTTGTTTCACGGTGGTGTACTCCTTACACTTATTTAAAAAAAACAAACCAAGTTAACTGTGAAACAGCCTCTGGCAGATCCTTTGGGAGGTATTTCAGAAGAAGGCATTATCATTAAAGGACACGTGTGTTATCGCCCCTGAAGACCTTCAGTGACAGAAGACGTGGAGGTGAAAGACAGTGATATTGATGATCCTGACCCTGGGTGGGCCTGATGTGTGTGACTATGTCTTAAGTGCCAACAAAAAGGTTTAAAAAAATTAAAAACAGAATAAAGATATAAAGAAAAAATGTTTTTGTACAGTGTACAATGTGTATGTTTTAAGCTAAGTGTTACAGAAGAGTCAAAAAGTCAAAAAAATTTAAAAGTGTAGAAAGTAAAAAAGTTACAATAAGCTAAGGTTAATTTATTCTTAAAGAAAAATATTCTTTATAAATTTAGTGTAGCCTACACTAAACTACACAGTGTTTATCAAGTCTACAGTAGTGTACAATAACGTCCTAGGCCTTCACATGTACTCACCACTCACCACTCACTCAGAGCAAATGCCAGACCTTCAACTCCATTCATGGCGAGTGCCCATACATGTGTACCATTTCTTCATTTTACACTGTATTTTTACTGTCCCTTTTTAATGTTTAGGTGCATAAATATCTACCCTGGCTTTACAGTTGCCTACAGTATTCAGTACAGTGACATGCAGCACAGTATGGCTTATAGTCTAGGATCAACAGGCCATACCTATGAATGTCGTAGGCTGTACCATCTGGGTTTGTGTAAATATACTCTATGATGTTTTCACAATGACAGAGTCTCCAAACAATGCATTTCTCAGAATGCAGCCCTGCTGTTAAGTGACTCATGACTACATATCTTTCCACTTATATGAGGTACCTCAACTAGATAAGTTCATAGATGCAGAAAGTAGAATACAGATTACCAGGGCCTCGAAGGGAGAGTAAATCAGAAGTCATTTTAATGGGTATGGAGTTTCTGTTTGGGATGATGAAAACATTCTGGAAATGGATAGCAGTGACGGTTATGTGACATCATGAATGTACTTAAAGTCACTGAATTGTCCACTTTAAAATAATTAAAATGGTCAATTTTATGTTATGTATATTTTACCACAACTTCTAAAACTTCCAATGTATGACTATAATGTCTATTAAACCATTCTCCTATCATTAAATATCTGGGTTCTTTTCCCAAATTTTTAAGCAATTAAAAATAATACTAAGATAAAAAAATATATCCTTTGACTCAACATTTTTACTTGTGGACATTTACCCTAGGTAATAATTAGGATGTGTAAGGATGTAGATATGTATTTTCCCCCTGGCATTATTTGTAATGCAAAAACTCAGAAATCTAAATAACTAAGCACCAAATGGAAAATTAGAAAGCCATGAAAAATGTGCTGCAGAGATATATCTATTTATATTAAGAGGGAAACGATTAAAAGTAATATGGTTGGCATGATGAACTTTAAAGGAAGTAAATGTTCATACGTGCATAAGAAAGTATCGGAAAGAATATATAATGGGGTTTTGCCAGCGGTTAGCTAAGAAAATGAGGTGTCACTGTTTTTTTATGCTCTATTTCTTACTTGTCCGTATTTTCTGATTTTTTGGCAATGAACACACACTCTTTTTGTAAAAAGAGAAAAATTAATAAAAGAAACTTAATTGTGAATAAAACATAAATAACTCCTCCCAGTTATTTTTCCTTTCTCAGAACTAACACTGTGCTTTTTTGTACTGGACAAAGTTAACCAACCCCCCCACCCAAAAAAAAAAGAAATCACAAAATACCAACTGAATGACTGTCTAAAGCTTTTTATTATGTGGAACCAGCCAACAATTTTTCCCCAATCTGAGAAACTACACAGTAGATTACACAAGGATATCCCTTTGGGCTTTTGGTTTGCTTCTTGGTTGACCATGGTAGGTACATGACACAGCAGTAATGAAAATATTTGATGTTTTTGCCAGTGAGGTGGGTTTTCTTTTAGAAATGAGGAAGATGATGCCCCTGAAGAGTGAGGCCACACAGAAAGTGAGACATTCAAGTATCTCAATGGAACCTAGTAAAATTAGAGCAAGAAAACAGAAACGCCTTTAAGAGTGTCCTAAAAGCTTGTGTAGCTGTAGAAGGATTAAAACTGTGAATTCAGAGGTGCAGGCAGACAGATCCAATCCTAAAGGCATTTTTGTTTGGGTGTCCTACACATTAAGTTGTAAATCTGAAACAGGAAACTTGAAATCATTAAGGTCACATATTTATAACATCATATCCAATTAGGTTAGAAAAGTGCAATATCTGTCATCATGTCATAAAAAGATGTGTTTTTCTCTCAGATCTCTCATAAAGAAAAGCTCCCTATATTGTTAAGGATAGGGCTGTTTCCAATCAGTTACAAGGAGCAATTCAATTACTAGATGGTTTAGTGTAGTAACTGACTCCAGACTAATTTAATTTCTTTAGGTCTCTAAAGATCAATTGATCTGATTTGTCCCATCCCCAAAGGCTGTTTATGAAAAATTCAGACTTAAATATCTGGAAATGAAATCCAAAACCTCAGCCAATTTCACACTACTTAGGTCATCTTGCAAACTTTCAGCGTCATGTACGAGTGCCGTTTTTGCCCTCAGACCATTGAAAGCTACTTAGCTTCATGTACATGTGAGTGCTCCCACATCAGGATGCTTATTCAAAAAGTAGAAAATGTGGCCGCGTGCATTATCAAATCTGCCGTTCTAAAGAGCAGCCAGACTGAGTACCTCCTATCTTGTAAACCCACGTGCAACTACAAGGCTATTTTTACTCTAGGAGTAGTTTATTAAGACTATGAAACACAGAGCTACATGGGATGAAACGCTCATAGAACAAGATGAAGGACTTGCAACTACTTTACATTTTTAGATTTATAAAACGCTGTCATAAATGCCAGCTTATCTTCGTCTCAGAATAAACCTCGGAGGTGGGCAGGGTTATATTCTCCATTTTCTAGATGAGGGAACAGACTCAGAAGCTGCTGACTTCTCCACCATCGCTCACCCAGGAAAAGGCAGAAGTGAGACTCTAACCCATAACTTTTTTTCTCCCAATATATCACGTGTACCCCCATGGTCTCAGACAGATAATACGACACACACTATAAAAACACATCACTACCACCCCACTGTGTCATTGTCTCCATTCTTACCTGCTACCTGAATAAAACTGAGGAAAAGTTCACTTTTAAAAATCCCAACTGCATAAACCCAGTCTGCAGCAGGGATTCTGGCCCACAGAAAGAGGAAAGAAAGTCATGGCTAAATGAAGTTGCCTTTTGCAAGTAGTCCCCTTTGCTGCTCACACTGCTAGAACCACATTCTCACTGGCTTGTGTCCCACCTAATTTGAGAGTTACCACTTACATTCTCTCTGCATTTTACAATGGATTTTCAACCCCAAGCTCAAATTTCGTTTCCTGATCTCAACACCTCCAGCCACTTGTCAAGCTCTCCAACTATTTAATGTTTCTTTTCTGCTCAGATCCCATAGTTCCTGCTCAACATTCAGCCTCTCCTGCTAGCTCATTTGCTTCCCTGCTGAGCCTCTAAGTCTGTCCCCCCAAATCAAACCTCTGCCTCACATTCTACCATTTGGGAAGACTTCTGAAGGCTGAGAGAAGGGTTGCTAGAATGTATAATTATCTCTTAATTAGAAGTGTTGATGCCAGGCGATGTGGCTACGTAGGTGACAAAGACTGCCGCAGAAACGTGTAACAATTAGTAGGGAAATCACACAAAGGCCTAGAGATAAAAGTGATTCTAGTAGCTAGGGAACCTCCCCCGACAACAGAGACCCTGGGCCACATAAAAGAATTAGTGTGTTTAAGAAATACAAATAATCAATTAGGTTTAAAAATCTTCTGTTTGAAAAACAATTTTTAAAACTAATCGATCATGATAGAGATGAGAACAGCGGGAGGGGCACCGAGGGGGAGAAGGCAGGAGCCTATTGGAGTGCTGGAATGTTCTACATCCTGATCTGGGGGGTGGTGTGTGGTTACATACGTTCCTATGTAAACATCATTGAGCTGGACCTTTTATTGTATGAAAGTTATACCTCAATAAAAAGGAAGCAAGTACTAACCATAAAAAAAAAAGAAAAACAATTTTTGAAATTCATACTGGGGAAAGTATGTATCTCCACATATTCATTACCTATCACCTTCACGGTCTCAAACTGCATGAACCATTTTTTTTAATTGCATTTTAGGTTTTGGGGTACATGTGCAGAACATGCAAGATAGTTGCATAGGTACATTTTCATTGAGTAAAAAGTAGGGTAAGTTACAGGCACATAATTGTCACTTGTCTTCTTAGAGGTCCTGAGACCTGCCTGACGTCTCTCCTATTAAATATAAGCAGTCTACTATATTGGTAAAATTCTATGACCTTGAATTAAATTACATCTCCTTGTTTCCAAATTCCAAACTACCTTTACACTCTCTGTGTTAGCAAACATACCTGCTTGGGAAGGTAAAAGGCTATCCCAGTTCTGTTTCTCTACAGACTGCCACTCATTGAGACAAGAAGCTTAAGAATGGCAAGAGAACTAAGTCTTTAATAACAAAGCCCTATTTTTTTAGACGGTGGAATAAATGTCCTGACCAAAGAAACCGTTTCACTCAGAAATTAAGCATGTAATAGATCCAGTCACAGTAGCTGTCAGACTAAGCAGTTGCATATGTACAACGAACGGGGTACAGAGAATAGAAGACTATATATAGTAAGGTTATGATTCTCTGGTGTCTAAAGGAGTGTGTTCTTATAAACTCCCTTGCATATGTACAACGAACGGGGTACAGAGAATAGAAGACTATATATAGTAAGGTTATGATTCTCTGGTGTCTAAAGGAGTGTGTTCTTATAAACTCCCTCTTCTCTTGATCTTATCTGAGCAAGAAAGTAAACAGAAAATTCTCATTACCTCTCAATGTCAGTGAGCCTGGAGGAGTCCCGGAATCCTTTGGCGAAAGGATTGCTATCTATTTTCAGCTTGGTGATCTGGAAAGAATGGGTACAAAACAGTATCATTTGTGAGGTCAAGGAAGTGAAATCAGAAATAGTTTGTCCATTCTCCATGGCACACCAAGAACACCGTAATGTCTCTCAGCGTCATGAGACAGGTGGAAAGTGCCACAGAAGTTCACAAGGGGGACAAATCCCAGGCAGGTGGGACGAGGGGAAAGGCCTCAGAGAGGAGGAGGTATTGAGGACAGACTAGAGGTTGACAGATAGATACAATTCGGGCTAGGAGCCTTTGAGGCAAAAGTAGACGTGAAATGGAGTGTGCAGTGTTTCATGTATTACACGATAGGTCAAAGGCCAAGGCTGAACAGAGGAATGTAAGAACTGCCTAAATACGAGTTATGCAGAATTCCAGCACTGACAGGGAATGGGGAACGAAAGTAAGAATGCTGTCTCATTTTTTGTTAGTACTGTGAGTACATATTCATACTGTAATAGATAAAAGATAAAATGGCCAGTAATAGCCTCATGTTCAATATGATACTGGTATATATGACTTAATACCTTCCGAATATAAATTTCCTCCTATCCCCCTTTCCATTTAACTAAATCAGAATCAAATTAGCCCATCTTATGTTATCCTTCCGGGCAACGTTATTTATAAACTCTATTTATATGGAAAAATACATTATAATAATAATCACAGTCTGAAACATTAAATAGCCATGTTGTGGTATTCAGAATTCCCAGAGTATTATTGTTAATGTAGAAAGATCCATTAAATTATATGTACAATGCCTCTGAAAAAGAATACATTAAGTTGCAATGAAAAAACAAAGGAAACACTGATTAAAAGATACTCAACATGGAAAATACCAGAACTGTTAGAGCTGAAAGAAGATCTAGCCCATGGTCTCATCCAACAGATAATCACAGAGACTCAAAGAGCACAAGGGCCAAGATGCAGCTGGTCAGTAACTGAATGAGAACTAAGGAAACCTTTAAGGAGTCACAGCTTCTCAGTATCAAAACTAGAACCCACGTTCATCTTTAGAGAGAAATGCATGCAAAAGATTCTTAAAGGGAAAAAAATTACAGGTATGTCTTCTTTTTCAGAGTAAGGAGTAATCAAAACAGACAGTTTGAAATACTCTTGCCCAAAAGCACTGTTTCCCCCAGTCAGAGTAAATCTACAGAACATTTTAAACAGTTGTGAAGAATTTTTTTCATTTCAAAAGAAATGTGTTTTTTTCTTTTCCCTGGTTTCTGAATGTGATCTAAACCAATGCACAAGCTGCAAAGAAGCTATTTACACCTCACTTAAAATAAAACCCCACGTACTAACCCAGCCAAGAGACTCCTCTATCAAAAACACTGGCAAATTATAGGATTAACTCTTTGATAATGCTAAGTTTTAAAAACATTTGACAGTGCCTCGGAAATGCTCATTTCTAGCCCATGAGCATTCACTGTGAAGCCTTTAAAGAAGATCTCTGAGCTATGAGCACTGGTCAACAGGGAAGCAAACATGCTACATAAATAAGAAACCCGTTCGCGTGGACAGCAGCAGCTACAGCGTGTACGTGAAGACACATACAGGAAAGACTCTGTAGAGAACATTCTCTCATCCACAGCTACACGCTCTGAATGGCCTTGTTTCACCCATTCATTCCAACTAGGGCTCATTTCTGAAGGGCTCAGTTTTGGGAGGGAAGGAGAAAAATTCTATTTGTTTGGAATAAATTATAAACATCATCTAAAGTCCAGGCAATCAATATAGTCTGCAATTACAAATACCGACAAGATTTTAAAATCCTCCAGGACACGAGCTATGTCTCTTAGTAATGAACAACAATGCTTAAAAGACGTTCTATTTCTGAAGTGCTTTATAGTTCCCTAACATGCTTTCTCAATAATTCATCAGTAAATAATGAGGATTAATCGCCACACACATGCACTGTGCTAGATGTCGGATGACACGTACAGCTAATCAGAGCCAGAGCTGGCTGTAATTGTCGCTAAAGAAGGTGACACCAACTCCAATGCATGGTTAGAGACATTAAGGGTAAATCAAACCCACATGAAAATTTCAAACTCAAACTGTGAGATGAAGCAATAAAGGTAAGGCTGCCTTCAAATAGCACATTTATAAAATTGAAAAGGAGGGCCGGGCGCGGTGGCTCATGCCTGTAATCCCAGCTACTCAGGAGGCTGAGGCGGGAGAATTGCCTGAACCCAGGAGGTGGAGGTTGCAGTGAGCCGAGGTCACTCCATTGCACTCCAGCCTGGGTAACAAGAGCGAAACTCCGTCTCAAAAAAAAAAAAAAAAAACATTGAAAAGTAAACAGGCTTACCAAGGATGAAATTTTCTACAGACAACAACAGATAATACATCTGATGAAAAACTCATTTTGAAAGTTATTTTTATAGCCATCTCTCTAAGATATGAATCATATCAAGCTTTTTCTGAGTCTTTACTAACTAAAAAGGTAGAAAGTATTACCTATCTGTTCTAATGATTGAAGATGAACTTTTGACATACTTTATCTCTGAAAAGAATTTTGAAAATCAGATTTCCTGCTCTTTTTCCAAAAGATAAAAACTATTGTCTCAGAATTGGGAAGTTATCTTAATTTCTTCAGTGCTCTAAGACCACAGAAAATACACTCTCAAAACACGTGTTTCTCAATTAGTGTGTCACCATATCTAATAATATTGCCATACTTTGAGCAAAGAAGTAGCTTAAATTCAACATGAGTTTTCAGATTTCTTTGAATTTTCTCTCATTATGAGAGAAAATTATAATATCTTATAATATCATTTTGTTTTTAGTTTTTTGTTTTTTTTTGAGATGGAGTTTCGCTCTTGTGACCCAGGCTGGAGTGCAATGGCGCGATCTCGGCTCACCGCAACCTCCGCCTCCTGGGTTCAGGCAATTCTCCTGCCTCAGCCTCCTGAGTAGCTGGGATTACAGGCACGCGCCACCATGCCCAGCTAATTTTTTGTATTTTGAGTAGAGACGGGGTTTCACCATGTCGACCAAGATGGTCTCGATCTCTTGACCTCGTGATCCACCCGCCTCGTCCTCCCAAATGCTGGGATTACAGGCTTGAGCCACCGCGCCCGGCCTATAATATCATTTTAATCCACCTTTCATAATCCCCAGGAGTATCAGTAGTAATTTCTTCACATTTTGATATAACTTCAAACTTCAGGAAAGTTGCAATAGTACAAGGTGCTCTTATACACCCAGATTTACCAATTGGCTAGAGCAATGATTTAATTTTAGTGCACTAATTAGAAAAAGAATTCAAAACAATTACCTTCTCTATTTCCATTTAATCTAATTCTAGGAAAAATCATCGCTTTTGCACATGAGAGCAGAAATAATCTGAATGGATCTATGATCACTAAAACTGTGTGGGAGCTCTGGGTTGAAGATACACATTCCTGAACAGCTTTCATGGGGTGTAATAAGCACAGAGACTGTGGAGTAAACTTCTTAGTGAGCAGCCCACTGTCACCACGCTCCGAACCTACCAGAGTGTCCACAGTCAGAACCCCACAAATGTTTGTTGAGCTTTACCTCAAGAACAAGCACAGTCAGAAATACGATCTTAACTTTTCACCAATTATGAACTAAATGAAACCATGAATTTACAGGAAAAGCACTTCATTTTTCAAATTTTAAGATAAAATAGTTTTTAAATAGCAATTTTTTTTTTTATTATTATTTTTGAGACGGAGTTTCGCTTCTTGTTACTCAGGCTGGAGTGCAATGGCACGATCTCGGCTCACCACAACCTCCGCCTCCTGGGTTCAAGCAATTCTCCTGCCTCAGCCTCTCGAGTAGCTGGGATTACAGGCACGCATCACCATGCCCAGCTAATTTTTTGTATTTTTAGTAGAGACGGGGTTTCACCTTGTTGACCAGGTTGGTCTCGATCTCTCGACCTCGTGATCCACCCGTCTTGGCCTCCCAAAGTGCTGGGATTACAGGCTTGAGCCACCGCGCCCGGCCTAAATAGCAAAATTTTAACATTCTAGGTAATCATACATTTTAAAAGATCAGACATAGAGTTTATGCCACAATATTTAAATTAAAAGCCAGTCGTTATAAAGAAATTCATTTCTGAAGGTGTAGTTTTACATCTCTTTATGAAATTTGGGATAACTGAAAAAATAACACACTTGAGAACTGACGAGGGAAAGAAGTTGGTTACAGACAGTGATTTCAGTTGGACACCATTTAATTCATGTCCGAGTACGGGATGCCTGCAGCTTGGAATGCTGTTGAACAAATCACCTTGATCAAAGGTAACCCTAAAAGAAGTACCAAAAACGAATCAACTGCCAAATATTGTATGTACAGAAACCAGAGGTATGGCGTCTTTATAACTCAAAAATTCTCAAAAGCAGCAACGTTTCTCCCTTTGTCAAGAGAAAACACTAACAAGTAAGGTTAGTAGCATGTGCTTCAGAAATGCTGCTGTTTAGTGTGTGTCTATGTATCTCCAAATGACTAATTCAGTCCAAACATAACCCTACTTTCTCGTGTATTTAAATAATACAGAATATAATGCAATTCCTAACCAGAATGTTCACTCTTTCAGCATCTCTATTATCTGTAAATAAATGCGGAGGGCAGGTTTTGATACTACCTGCAGTGCAAAAGAGAAGGAGACCTTTTGCAGTGGTTATTCTGTATAATACCACTGGACTCTGAATCCAGCTGGGGTTCCCAGCCACAGGGGAAAATTGGCCCTCAGAGACCATTTCTCCAATTATCAGGAAAAGATCTGACCAAAGGCATTTAGAAATGAAACCTGACCTACACTTCAACTCGACAGCAATGGTCTGCCTGCTCAAAAACAACGCATGACCTTTAAATCTTAAATTATAAAAGAGTTTGTTGAAAGTGTAACGTATTTAGCTTTCATCCAATAATGTAAAGAAATGCAATCATTCCCTGGCAAAAACCAGAGGAAGAAATAGCAAATGAAAGGTCCGATTTTCATTACTTATAAATGAAACTA